AGGAACAATATGGATAACATTGCGGATATCCGGTATGTCCACACCCATTCCCATCGCCACAGTTGCAAACACAACACGGATAGCGCTTCTACTTGAACAAAGCTGTTTTAATATTTCATCTTTCATCTCGCTCGTCTGTGGAGAATGAAACTGAGCAAACATTCTGTTGGCTGGAATTCGAGCTGACCCAATGGGAAAGTATTGCGCACTTCCCAGTATGGACTCAAATAGCTTATATGCAAATCCACATAGTTTTAGTGAAATGTATATAACCGTTAATGGATATTCAATTTTTGCCTTTAACAGTCCTTTGGCAATAGGAATCAAGATGGATTCAACAGCAACAGAATCTTTGCCACGAAAAGCTTTTTCGTAAAAAATATTTGCCCTGTCAGGATTAGCAACGACAACCTTGCACTTCTTTAATCCCAGTGACACCTGAATGCATATCATGTCAGAAAGACTACCTGTTGCAGTCATTGCAATAACTGGAATGTCTGGGAATAAAGCACACAGGACACCAAGTTTGGAATAATCCTTCCTGAAGTCAGTACTCCTGCAATAACAACATCAATTTTACATGAAATGGTGTTAGCATGGCATGCATTAAACACTTGTAAGTGTATATACAACTAAATTAATCAGAGATCTAGATCTATATTTTTAGATTTATATATAAAGTACATTTATCATACTATAAAATAAACCACAAATATTATGTTCAGTTGACAGCCCTTGCTGTCCCTTTGGTTAGCAAAATCATCTGGCATAGTGTCAAATATAGACAGAGCAAATAATCTGGCGAGTATAAACAGTATACTAGAGAAGTGTAGCATATATTTGATGAAAATAAAAGCAAGGTACTAACCAATCCAATATGCAATGAGCCTCATCCACAACAATTGCAACGACATTCTCCTTGTACGTTTTCGATAACAACAAATCTCGACCATATTTACTTGAAATCAACGACTCAGGATGGGCAAAGACAATATGGTAATAGCCATTCCGCAGCTTATCTTCTTCACAGAGGCTAAAATCGATTTGTATAATTATTTTCGTCTGAATCATCTGATCCAACTTTCACAGAAAGAACAGCAGCTCTAATACCACTCAAGCTTAGCCGGGAGATTTGATTACTCATCAAAGAGTTTAATGGTGAGATTACAATAACAATAGTGTTGACATCTTCTGATGAAATTCCTCCAAAAGAATCGCTGTTCAGCTCGCGTTTCGCAAACAACAACATCGGCATCAGATGAAAAATCAAAGACTTCCCATAACCGGTCGGAAGAACGCACATAACATCTTTTTGAGAGAAGACACTCTCCAGGCATATAATTTGCTTTGGTTTTAATATCGTGTCGCGGTACAAACTATTTTCAATCGCAAATTTCAAGCAGTAAAAGAAAGCAATGTATTCCAACATCATCGCCGCTCCTTATTTAAATTCGACCTTTGCTGGAAATTATGAAGTTTTTAGTTTTCAAATGGAAGCATGTAATACGATACTTTGCCCACACCCCCTTAGGCAATCAAATTTTGAAGAGTCACGTGACCAGCCGCAGCCAGGGTCTTTCCCAAAGAAAGATCCTGGGTACGAGGTTGTCCCGGATGTTGCAAAGCAACATTTGCGATTCTTCGCGGTTACTTGAGTGTGGGACAGATGTGAAATTACCAGCCTGCTTGGCGCGCACTCTTTGCCTGCGAATCGGGCCTTTCAGAACCGGAAATCGAGCTGGAGCACGACAAATGGCAAAATTCACACGGTGCCCGTTTGCAAAAACAACTGCAAACTGCTCTAATTCTTTCTGTCACTTTCATTTGATCTCATCTGTCAGTCGGCCTCAACGGCCTTTGATTAATTATGAGTGCATTTATTTTTTCTTCCCTTCGCCCTCCCCCCCCCCCCTTCCCCCGTTGCCAACATTTCCGTGAAAAATTTTTTAGGTGCCCTTCATTTTCCACTTACTTTCATTGGTAAATTTTCCTTCACTTTCACCGTAGTTTCCAGGACCAACTTTAGTACTTGCAAGAACACGAACATAATATTTGGTTGAGGCATTCAAACTTCTGATAACTAACATCTTTTGCTTTGTAGTTTGCTCTTTAAAGCAAAGTTTATTTTCTTCATGTGAGATACACACAGAATAATTGACGATAATGCCATTTCTTTTTTCTTTTTTTGGAGGTTCCCACGTGACAGATAATGATGACGAGCTTTCTGCAGTCACTTTGACATTCAGTGGAGGACCTTCTGGAGCTAAAAATTAATTGCGATAATATGGTATTTTATAAAATAAAATATTGTATTAGTTGGTAAAAATGCATGACAATTCTGCTGAGTCTCAGCCATGATATGCGAGTATATCACCATTGTGTGCGAGAATTGTTGCAATTCCACATAAAGGTGGAGTAATACGGGCAACAAAATTGCTGCAACTTGCAACAAAATCTGATTTTTACACATAATGGTACCTTCCCTAGCAGAACCAGCCATGCACGCTGGCTAACACTTACAGATACCATTAAATAATTAGGAACAGTCTATCAAAAGTGCAAAAGCAACTGCTGATTTTGTAAGAAATGAAAGAAAGCTTCACACCCTGAAGATTGACAAATGTTCCTATGAGTTGTCTACGCTTTTATCTATTTTATTTCACCTTCTTCAGATGTTATGAACGAAGTAATTGTCTCTTCACCAAAACCACGATTATTTCGAACAGCGACTGATATTTTGTATGTAGTGTATGGTGTGAGATTGTGTAATTCGTATTTATTTCCGTTATCTTCGGTAATATTCTGGATGAGAGAGTTCTCTTTCTTCAGTTCAATCCAAAATCCAGTAAGGTCTCCATCTCCTGTGTTGTTAGGATCCAGCCAAGATATTTCTGCACTTCTTGTCTTGATGTTTGTGATGAGATTTGTAGGTTTATCTGGAAAGAGAGCTAGAAAGAAAGAAAGAATTACTTTGCATTTACAATAGAAGTAGAAATGTTCAAATTTGACTTCCACTACCGTTACCATTAACCAATCAGATATGTTTAATCTACATGAATCAAATGCGTATTAAGCTACTGACAGATAGCAGTAGTGGAAGTCAAATCTGAACCTTCCTAATTTCATTAGTCATACATACCACAAAGTTTATTAAAAGACGTCGCTGTATTAATACATTGATATTCAAAGTAAAGATATTTTGTGAATCCAGGACATAGATCACCAGAGAACAACTTGTCATTCACAGTTATGTTACACTCATGTTGACCATCACATTGTTTCTCTACAAGACATGTTACATCAACTTCACAACTATAATCATCACTCAAACCACATGTCTTTGTGGCAGACAATCCACGGTACGATGCATTCTTGACCACCATGTACTGATCTTTAGGACAGTTGGCATTCCTTACCATATTTCCATGACACGTCACTGAACCTGGAACAGAACGAAAATTTAGAAATGACGAGCACTACATGACAATGTCAAGTAGGGCAAGAGATTTTGTTGAACGGCATAGCGATGTATATACAAAATGCAAAACAACTTTGCTGCACATGATATATTCTTATACAGAAATTCAGCATTATATGAAATATTTGGAACAACAACGAGTGTTGCTCGTGATCTAATTATATGTGGAGTGCAACAAGCCTCTGTGTTTGAGCCGCTACGCTTTATTTTCTTCATCGATGACATAAAATATATATAGCTCGAAGTTCAGTTGGCAGAGCATTGGACTAGTACCCCAAAAGTCGCTGGTTCGATTCCCAGGTCATCTCAAAAACATTTTTCGGACATACCAAAAATTTTTCCGGAAATATCACATTTTTTCTTATAAATGAAAAAAGTTTTTCCGGATATACCAAAAAAATTTCCGGATATATGTTATTTTTCCCGGAAATGAAAAAAATTTTCCGGAAATAACATAAATTCAAGTTTTCAAAAGTGCCCTTTGGGCAAAAAATGCAATCTGAACGACATTTTTCACGGAAGAAAAGGGCACTTTGCTCCCGGAAAAAGGGCACTTTGGAAAACTTGGGGGCTGCTCCCCCTGCCTCCCCGGTTCCTACGCCCCTGGCTCTGTGTGGATGCACACTCGGAGACAACATCACAAACATGATATTCTTATTCAGAAATTCAGCATTATATGAAATATTTGGAACAACTATAGAGTCTTGCTCGAAAACCCACGACTTTCGGCAGAGCGTTGACTGACTCTTTTCACATGAGTCCGTTGCCAGAATCGAGCCCACGAACTCAGAGGTGAATGGCGCTTGCTCTGCAGACTGCGCCACCGAAGCCACAAAGACATAAAAAAAATTAACTGCATACAAATAAAAACAACTTACCAAAATTAAAACGTTCATCTTCTCCGTCGTTACAATTTGTCGTCAATGCGATGTAGGGATCTATTCCTGGGTTTGTAGCAAGTCGACTATCTTTACCAGGGACTGCACACCGCGTCGATTTAGCAGTTACATAAAATACAGATAAACCTCCCCAAGAGGTCTGGGTTATAGCATGTTCCTTATCACGACAATAATTAAGTGAAGGATCTGTAGTAACGAGCAAATACTACGCAGGAAGTAGATAACCATTACCACGCCTAGCTCTTCCCTCGAAACATCCCTTTCTTTTCAAATTGAACATGGTACTATTATCAAGAAACCGAAACAGAGCAGCTGGATCCAGACAGTTGTTGGAAAGTTCCACAAAAGTTAAGGTCCCCCAAGTCTCGTTCGCCTGTAGTACGCTTGTGTCATTTATACACATCCCTGTCTGTACATGTTTCACGAAGAAACAAGCAGCGCCTGAAACAAAACAAAAACTGATAAAATAAAATAACGAAGTAAATAATGAACACCCGTTGCGTGTTTGTGTGCTTGCGTTTATTACGCTCATGTTAGTTACTTAGTCTAGATTATATGGTTGTTGATGGCACAGTATCTTTCACAGCTCATTTATGTGACTTATATCACATAAGTATATTTCATTGGCTGTTTAGTCACTGCTGTAGTAGCTAGTGGTGTAGCTACATTGTAGTTATTCCAATTTCCAAACAGTTATTCGGATCCATTCCTCAAACATTTAACTCCACAGTTGGTTCAAATAATGGCAATGAAGTTTAATCCAATCTTTTATATTCTGACTGCAGTGTAGTTTAGATTTATAATCATTGCCGCTTATTAATTAGTCGCTGTGTCACCCTGTGCTCAAGCGATTATCAGTTTCTGCACGCATTTTTGGCAGATGTCGGATAGCCACAAAATAGAATATTAATGAGCAAGATGGCCGGCGTTTAAGGAGTGGTCCGAGTGAGGCGATTGCGAACTGTTTCGTTATGTTTATGCAATTTTAAAGTGGATTTTACGCGACTTATTAAAACGGAAATAATTTGCAGTCAGGCTCAAAATAAAATGAACACAGGGTTTATTAATATTTAATATAGATATTATTCTTACAGACGCACTGGGTACAGTTTTAATTTGGCTAACTGCTTTGATACACTACCGAAATGTTTCGTTATCTTTGTGATATATTGAACTCAGACACAGGTCATTAGGGCCACATTTTTGGAAGAGCGAAGCGAAAACCAAAAGCATGGTTCATGTTGTTCCCTCGGAAGAAGTTTGAAATCTGGGTCCCTGAAATGCGATTTCAAGCAGTTTGGGGTGACATTTTGGAGAATTCCAAATTTCCAATGATTATAAAGTACATCAAAGACATGATTTTTTCAGTATGATCTCAAAAACGTACCTTTTCCCAGATAGTTTGTTTTCGGAAATAAATAATAGAAAAGTCATCTTGGAAAACTGGAGGAAGGGTCCGTATCACCTTATTTCCCCTCTATGATGCTGAGAGGAAAAAACTCAATTTCATTTTGATCGAAATGTTGCCCTTAGGATGGTTTTTGTGGCGATTGTGGGGG